AGAGGGAAGGATGACAGCATCATTTTAATACAGTGTGAAATCCTTTTTCCACTGTTTATCATTATCGGGGGGCCGCGGCTACCAATTATTTTCACTTTTTATTAATGGAGCAGTTTTGAGAAATTTCATTTATTTGCTTTCTAGCTGAGAGTTCGATGATAGGAGCGACACCCAAAGTGTTGATGCGGAAGCGTTTTCAGTGTCATTTTGCAGACTAATCACAGAGGCTCTGCCGTTATGAACGCTGAAAAGCAAAGCCGACCGTTTCTGCCCCTGCTCTAAGGCTTTGTGATAAAGTAGGATAACCTCCTCCTGGCTCCGGCTCCATGTGAAATGCACAGGAATGAGAATGACACAAATCTTCTGAGTAAAGTCTTGGCAAGGAAGCGAATGGGCCTAAGTTTATTTATCATGATGTTTAACTTTAATCTGTTACCCTAATAAGGTCCTGGAGCTTAAGATACTGTCTATAACAGTTTAAATTAATATGCACTGATATGAAAAAGAGAAAAAAGGTGACAGTTTCTCGGCGTTGTTTGCTTCTGTTGCATTTTTTTCTCACTGTGGGTTTATTTTTTTCTTTAATATAAAATTCTGCACCTTTATGGAAACAGTACAAGCATGAACAGAAGTAGAGAGAATCATGAACGGTTTCCTGTGCAGTATAACAAAGTTAAAATGCCATAAATCATTAAAAAATAATTGAGGAACCAAATTTTCTTTCTTTTTTTTTTTTCCAAAAATTAAAAATAAATGGAGTCAACATGTTGTAAATTTGTTTATATAAAAGTTCCCACAGTTGTTCGCAAGACTAGTCAAAAATTGTGGTTCCACGTTCCTATACATGGCTGCATTTGAATTTGTTTCCATACTTCTCGTCTCGTATCTGCTCAAGTCAAGCACAGCCTGCAGTTCAACCCAGTTCAACTGAAAAACAGCTAAATTTCTGATGCATGCACTGCTGGTCACAGCTGAGTCAGTCATGGCTTTGTGCCTAGGAGCGCATAATTCTTTGTTTTTGACAGAATCTGGTTTATTTTTAGCAATTTTTTAGGACAAGATGTGTCGAGTTAGAGATTGTGATGAAATGTGATGATTTTTAAGTTTAGATTTGGTTCATTTTCTAGATCAGAATGTGAACTCAGGGTACATTTGAGGACTATCAGGAAGAATGTTTTGTTTTTGACATGATCTAGTTTGAGCAAATAGTTTATTTTTGGCAAATTTTTAACTGAGACATCCATCCATTATCTATACACCGCTTAATCCTCACTAGGGTCATGGGGGGCTGGAGTCTATCCCAGCTGACTCAGGGTGAAGGCAGGTTCACCTGGACAGGTAACCAGTCTATCACATGGCTACACTTAGAGACAGACAACCAAGCACACTCACATTCACACCTACAATTTAGAATCACCAATTAACCTCAACATGTTTTTGGACTGTGTGGGAGGAAGCCGGAGAACCCGGAGAGAACCCACGCTGCACGGGGAGAACATGCAAACTCCACACAGAAAGATCCCGGGTGTCCTCACCGGGTCGCAAACCGGCAACCTTCTTGCTGCGAGGCTAACAACTGCGCTACCCTGCAGCCCCCTAATTGAGACATGTGGACTATAAATAATTTGATGAAAATGTTCTTGTTTTTAGTTCCTGGCTCTGGTAAATGGTGTCATTTTATCTTGCCTTTCAAATCTACTGATGGGTTTTCAGAGGGTTAACTTGATTGATCACAAGTTGTTGATGATGCTTTCAGCTCTCATCACTTGTTCTCCAGAATTGTTCAGATGTTGCTGTTCCACACTTTACCCTGTTAACTGCTCTGAGAATACTATTTTAGTTCCACCTTCCCCCCGCCATCCCATCTTTGATTTTGCAAATAAATGAACAGGCAGAGGACAAAGACAGAGCAGGAGATGAAGATGAACAGACTGTGATAATTCCTTTCTGTTGCTCCTTTCACACTCGGTCATTTAATAAGGCTGGATGACATTACTGCTCCAGGAGTAAAGGAGGGACGGAGGGGAGGGAGGTTGTCAGGTGGCTCCGAGTAATGAATCTTTATCCAGCTCTGATGATATCCATGTCCAATATCTATTTGACACGTTCTCTATCTCGCTCTCTTGGTCACTCTCTAACTCCCTCCATCATTCTCGCTCTCCACGTCTTTGTGTGCACATGTGTGGGTGTTTGCAAGAGTTCTTCTGTCTGTACGAGGAGCAGAGATCTTCTTTTTTTTTTTGTATTTTTCTGTGTGCGTCTCTGTAAGTGTGTGTGTGTGTGAGTTTCTGGTTTGTAAGTGGCTGTAATTCCTTTGTTGGTCTTCAACAAAGCCGGTCCTTGTGCTGGTGGAATTGGGTCAGTCTGATCCTAATGAGAAATCCCTGGTCAATCTTTCCAGCTCTTTTACTCTCACAGAATTTGAACTTTTTTTCTTTTTTTTTATGTGTCTGTGAGAAAGGGAGAGGCTGATCGCAGTGTTCAACCATCCAGCGGTGCTTAGTTTGCATTGTGTGGCGCCGGATTGTGACACAATGAATTATCATATTAAAACTTTCCTTTTAGCAATAAATCAGCAAGTTTCAAAGTTTTCTTTAATTCCAGAGGAGCTGCTTTAATGAGAAATCGGGCTCGTGGCATTAACGTCGCCTCATGCCGGGACCTCAGGTGATTGCAACAAATTGCCAGTCATCTTGTGAGTTTTGCTCAATTAATTAAAGCGAGTGATTTACTCGCTGCCGTTCGACACATATTATGGAGAATGAACCTGTTGAATCACCAATTTTCAACATCTCCAGCCCTCACCATCAAGGGACCTAATGAGTGATACAGATTTAACAATAACCTGGTGCTTCACCATTCTGTGAAATACGAGCGTGAAGGGACGAGGGCAGAGCTCCACTACCTACATTATATCCCAGTTAATAACTGTACATACTGAACAGCATCCAAATAAGTCACAAGCTATTCATCAGGTAAAGTGAGTTTTGGCGAGCCTGTGGGCGCAATTGATCTGCTCAAAACGGCATAAAAATACAATGTGAAGCGGCGAGAATGACTAATGACCGGTTGCAGGGTGCAGAGAGTGTTGTGTTAGTGTAAAATCACTCCTGCAAATTAACTGCGAAACAATGAAACCGACGACTTTTTTAGCCGTGATTTTGACTCCGTTCTTGCTGCAGCGTTCCCGGCCCATGTGTTGGCTGGAGCCCCCCGTTATCAGAACGGCCTCTTCCATTAAAGCCCTCAGGAGGTGCTTTAGAGCCAGACTCTTAATGCCATCTGGTTTATAACAATTCCACCAGGAAAACAGTCCTGCCCTTGTTTTGAGTGTGTGTGTGTGTGTGTGTGCGCTTCCTTGATTCCTTGGATTTGTTTGTTTGTTTGTTTGTGCCACTGCTGCTAAGCTGCTCTGCTCAGACTATAACATGCTAATCAGTTATGTCCAGACAGGTGGAAGTAATAGCCGTCAGTGGTTTTAGCGTCTCCCGCCCGCTTTGCTTCATTAGTTAATCACAGCCACAGATGCTCTGTTGCGAGCGAACCACTTGGGCCTTCCATTCGCCCCTCAGCGTCCAATCTCCCGGTTTGCTCGCCTCGTGGCTCCCCCAGGCATCTGCCTAGCCTCCATATTACACAACAGCCAGCTCCGCGGAGTCGTATCCGTCTTTTTGTTTTCCTTCCATCTCTTATATCTGAGACGCTGTCACGTGTGGGTTTTTTTGTTTTATTGATGTAAATAAATCTTGACCAGCATCAGAAGACATTAAGGAGTTTGTTAGTCATTAAACAGACCTGTCAGTTGGGGCACTCCAGGTTGAAGACGCTGAATCACGACGTCCCTGACAAGAGTTGAAGTGAGGACCATTGCTGCGTGTCGTTCCCCATCTTTGTCTTGCGTTTCCCCACAGCCTCTCCACTATCAGGCAACAATGAAGGCAGTAAATACCCCAAAATACTACGCCTGTGAATGTGAATGTGGTGTAACAGGTTTCTTTGAATTATATGGATTTCGCTGATGAGCTTACACTATGTGGACATATTATTTAAATGGCATGAGGGTGGCTCTCTTTTATTCTGGCAAAATCACCATAGAAACTTGTTATACAGCTAAGAGAGAGTTTGGAAGGTAAATTTGCTGTATGAAGGGCCACATTTTCTTTCCCTGACCGTATTCTCTATAAGCAGTATTGATACAGCTGCGGGAATACATTGACTCTGTTGGATCATATGTGAGTAATGCAGTCTAAGTACGGTAGGCGAATGCATCGTGCTGCCATGGGAAGCTACACACATTCAATTGGTGATGCCGAAAATGCCTGAATATGTTTTGTTTGGTCCATTTTACACAGCAGCTAATAGAGCACAGATTAGGAAATTGGTTAGCCTCTTGTTGTTCATCGGGGAGAAATTCAATCAGTAACATTATTTCCCTTTGTTTTGGCCAAAAACTGTTGATTTTCATCCTTCATTATAAGAAAACGTCAGACCTGAATGCACTTCTTGAAAATCATGTATGAAGTTTAAAGTTTCAGAGCTGTGATGTGTCATATTAGAAACAAATATACTAACTCACACACATTGCTCTCTTGCAGTATTTGTCGTAGCAGCGCTCTAATAAATCGTCACAGTCTTCACGACCCTCCTCTGTAACAACCTGTTCCTCTTGACTGAAGTAGCCAGAATGTGATTAGTCGATTTTCTGAGTCAAATGACGCGTGAAATGCCCACTTTTAATAGGAGTGTGCACAGAGGCTGATGAAGAAAACCTGGGTTAACAAATGGGGCTGATGATCATCATCATGGTTCTGACATAGAAAGTTTCTTCAGATCATATAGAAACGACTGATTAGCTATGCAAACGTAAGCAATCATGACACTGTGTTATATTTTGTCATTCAAAGTGTGCACTGTTTTGCTGCATTTTCTTAAGAAAACTGCTAAACGGACACTCTCCTCTCTCTCCTCTCTCTTCCTTCTTGCCTTCGTCCTTTCTCCAGGGTCGCCATGTTAAGACGGGGCAGCTGGCAGCCATCAAGGTCATGGATGTCACCGGGGTAAGACACACACACACTCTTATCTGGCGTTCGCTCACACACACACACACACACCCACGTACCCATGCACAGAAAATCATCTCAAGTGATTATACCACTGTCGACCGTGTCATCTAATTATGAGCGATGAGTCAGTGCAGTGTGTGCGTGCATGCACGAGTGTGTGTGATGTGGCAGAGAGGAAATGAGGACAGGCCTATTGCCATGGTAATATTAGCTGGAGGTATTAGGACAGCAGTGTGGTCTCAGGCGTGTCTGTAAAGCAGGAGGGAATCTCAGCTATATTTAGAGATCCTCTCACCCAACGCCTCCCTGTCAGCGCTCAGCTGCCAGCAAAACAATGAAGGACTGCAGGAATCCAGCAAGCAAGGAGCTAATGAATGAATGAATCAATAGCAGCATGAATGAATGAATGAATGAATGAGGAAACGTGCAGGGTGCATGAAGACGAATGAATGGGCAAAAGAGCAGATGTAATGAAAAAAATGCACAAACAAATAAATGAAACTGTGATTAATCTGCTTAAATGAATGACTGTATTAATTACTGATGAAAATTAAGTAAAGTGCACACGCAGAATTGCTAACTTAATGAGCCGCCACTGTAGGAAACAAAAAAATCATCTTGCTAAAACAAACGTCTTGGTTTTCTTCACCAATGAACGCCAAATTAAATTAATCAAGGCGCAATTTTCTGACACTGTCGATAATAAATAAAAAAAAAACAGTCACACTTTTAAGTGATCAACAGCTACCACAGCAGCTGCTTTTGGCTTTTGTGGCTGTAACCCCCTAAAAGCAAAGTAATTAGAAAGTAATGGCGTTATTGTGGATAATTTAGGGCCCAGCTGTGCTGCTTTTGCAACAACAGTCTTCAGATTTTAAATGGATTCAAAATGCAAATCCATCAACAACTTGATTCCTCTTTTGCTCTATCGACATCCCATTAAGCTCTTTGAGGGGGTCACAAATAGAGGTCGCGCTCTGACGCCTGTTGATGTTTCTGTTCTCGTGTGTGTCAGGACGAGGAAGAGGAGATTAAAGCAGAAATTAACATGCTGAAGAAGTACAGTCACCACCGGAACATCGCCACCTACTACGGAGCTTTCATCAAGAAAAACCCTCCTGGCATCGATGACCAGCTCTGGGTACGCCATTATTTGTGTCTGTTTTTTTTTGTGTGTGTGTGTCACAGGAGGAAAAGATGGCTCTTAGAGAAACACAGCAGAACAGAAACACTTTCCATTTTTCAGTGTTAAAGCATATGACAAAAGCAAATGTGTGCAGTGCACCCATGCACATAGTGACCGTAGCTTTGTGTGCACTGGACTATGTATATATATACTTAATGTGTGTGAAAAATATATAAAGGAATCAGTGTGTGGCTGGCTTGCCGCTGCAATAAATCATGTGTTAACGCGATCTAAGGGAGCTCTCTCTTCTCTGATCCGGTAGCATTCATCACACAACAATAGGAGGACACACACAAGCATATGCATACAACACACACACACACACACACAGCAGCCAAACGTACTGCCTGCATAATTCCCCCTGACTCAACAGCTGCTGATTTTCCCCGAGTGTGTTAGCGAGCATACGTCGAGGCGAGCTGGTGTGATTTTTACATGTGTCGTCTTATATTTATGCATACGTGAGGCGTGTTCCCGTCGTCTTTGCGTGACCGAGGACACGTGCGCGGCCCTGGATGAGGGGAGTTTGGCTGTCACTCGCCAACTTCCTCTTTTCCTTTTTAATCCACAGTGATGATTAGGGGTCGAGGCTTGAAGCAGAGCCAGAACTGACCAGATGAACTTTTGCTTGACAATCTCTGTGGATGTGATGCAGAGGAGAGGATGCGAGGATGTCAGGAGTGGTTTTGGGAAAATCAGCAGAGAAAGAGCGTCTGTCACATGACTGCGTGTCTTACTTTCTGTGTTACTAAATCTATTGCAGTCATGTGATTGTTGGTTTTGGGTGTTTTTCTTCTAAAATGGGTGTATTCGTGCTAACATCTAATTCACTTTTATTCTGTGAAAATGCGTCAGTGCAAGAGATAATTTTTAATTTTTATTTATATCATTTTTCAGATTGTCGGTATTGGTAAATTATTGGCCGATTATTCGTAAATTAGATTTGCTGCTTCAGCTCTGACGCAGTCACCACTCTCTGTCTGTGGTCTGAGAAATGTATCTCAAGCAGAGACTGCAAAAACTGAACAAGAAACGCCACAAATGAGGAAATGAGCTACTCGCACAGTGGCTCAGGCTACGCTAACGACTAGGGGTTAAGTTAGAAGGCAGCCACAGATTACCCTGAAACACAGTCTGGAAAACAATAGTTATAAAAGGCTTTTAGATGTAGACTTTAGTGGACAATAAAAGTGATAGAACAGCAAAAGATTGAGAAAACAGAGAAGAACAGCAGACGTAACTGTAGGAGACAAACTGATCAATGTCGGTCGATACCACATAAATGAAGGAGAACGTCCTAATTTGATCAATCCTATTTCTTTTTTTACCTTTTCACTTATAGTCACTTTTATCAATGAAGATTCCCAGTCATGAATGACACATCTCTGCTATCACATGTTGTACACATAATGTAACATATATCGGGTCCAAATATAAGCTATCGGCCTTTCTTGATTACCAGTCGGCCCTCGAAAACCCATATTGGTCGATCCCTTTCACTTTCATACAAAACGTAGGCATGCATGATATCAGTCATCATTGGTACTGACCACTACACGGTTTAAAAGGAAATACTAGCCCAAAATGAACCTCACCAGGTAGATAATGTCTTTTCAAAAATGTTGCATGCAAATAAAAATGGCATGTTTCCCGTAAAAGGTGAAGCAGTTTTTAGCCCAGTGAATGCACATTTGAGTCGGCATAATAATGTCTTAATTCCACTTCAGTGGGAACCTGGATGTTCTCGGCAATTAGGTAGAGAAAGTATTTGCATATGTTGGTAATTGCATCTGCAATTGACCAAAATGAGTTGGAAAATACTGTATGGAAAAATGGTAAATATCACACGCCATGCTTTCCGCGTCAAGGAGACTGTTGCTGTGATTTAGTGACTTTTTTCGAGGCCGATTGTCTCTGAAGCTCGGATCAAAGTCCACGGTTTGGGATAAAACAATACATCAGTTGATATTTTTTGTGTTTAAAGAGATGTTGAACTAAATATTGTAATTTTTACGTAGCTGCAGTGATCAGTCCTTTATTAATTTGTGCAGTTTCCAAACAAACATTAAACAAATCCAGCTCCAGTGAAGGCAACACGTACATAAAATGCTGCAGATAAAACATTTTTGCTGTAGTTCTTCTTAAATGGCCAAAAAATAGGCCATTACTGAAACAGTTTTATTAACATGATGGCACATAGTATTACCTGCTGACAGTGCACCATAGTGACTGTGGCTCAATCCTTTAATAACAAGGAAAAAGTGAAACCTTTGTGGTTAGTTTACATATATTCATAGAGAATATAAGTGCATTATGGTGCTTATGCTGGTGCTAATGGGAATCCTAATAAACAAGAAACAAGAAAGTGTCTGCTGCATACATAAATAAACAAGTAATATTATTTAGTAGTTTTGTTACCACAAAAGGGTCCTGTTTGGAAAAAAAAAATACTAGCTTGTCTGGACTAATTCTGATCCTGATTGCTGGTTTTGGCAGTCAATAATCAACTTTGTATGTATGTATGCAGCTGGTCATGGAGTTCTGTGGCGCCGGCTCGGTGACAGACCTGATCAAGAACACCAAGGGCAACTCTCTGAAGGAGGAGTGGACCGCTTACATCTGCAGAGAGATTCTCAGGGTAAGTAGCCATGTTAGCAAGTCATATCTTGAACTTCTACGACAGCAATTAACAGCAAGAACCGAAACAGTAAATCAAGTAAGTCGGCATGAGAAACCAACAGAGAGCCAAAAAAAGATTTGGAGTTTCGGTTTCTCACACGTTTTGACTTGACCTGATTAATTCATTATCGTTAGCGTTCAAAATAGTTCCCAAGCAATGTAGTTAAAGACGAAAAAAATAGAAAATGAATCATTATTTTAATACTATTCTCTTAAAACTACTGATACCATGAAGAAGCCGTGCTTGTGTCCTTACTTCCTCGATATGAAGCCGTTTCTTAAAATGAATGTTATATGATTGACACATAACTATTCTGTGATAGCAATCGCAAGTTTACAGCCTCTAACTCTCTGTTGTGGACTGATGTGAAGCCACGTATTGAATTTTCCTGGGAAAATTGCTCTCATTCGCCCCCCCCGTGTCTTATCTCTGCGATCTGTTGTGATACGTTTTGGGTGCTGAGGGCTCCGGACTCGAACAGAGAGCAGCAATATCACTGCATCTTGTCAGTTATATGCAGCAGCGCTGCTCTGAACAATGATTTCTTTTCATCCACTTCTTTTTTTTTTTTCCTTCTTCTTTGTTCACCCCTCATCTCTCATCTTATTTTGCGATTTTCTGTTTTGACTCGATCTGCTGCCTCTGCCCCCTTTACTGTTTTATGCTGTCTTTATCACAATTTCTTATTCTTTCTTTTTCTTTTTTAGTGTTTTTCCCAATTGCAGTATATTTCTCTGTTTCACTGTTTCGGCTGCTTTACCGTCAATACAAGAAGCTTCAGTAAAACATTTCTGAACCTGTAAAGACATAAACATCTGACACGTAGCTGTGTTTTGCTGCATTTATTCAGCCTTTTAATGCATTTAATTACACTAGTAACAAGGAAAATCTCATCAATTCAAGAATAAAATAGAATTGAATCTTTATTTGTCATTGGACACGTGCAACAGAATTGCATGCAAACATTAAAGTGCATCAGTGAGACATATATGAATAAATAAATAAAAGAAAAATGCTTCTAAGCTAACTATAGAAACTTTATTTTAAAAAGCGAAGGAAAGATTCTGAAAAGGAAAAGAAAAACACAACATAGCACACATACCAGACATTTTATATTGCACATTTCAGGACAGACAACACACATGCAGACAGGCAAGACTGAAAATAATCAATGCTGGAGTTTGATGTTGCAGCTACGACAAGCATTTTTCCTTGTGAGGAGTTTTTTTTTTTGCACAGGGAGGTCAGAGGTCAAGCTGGGCTGCACATTAGCAACGCAGAAGCTGCTTCTGTATTTTAGAAATGAGCTTATTATATAATAATAATAATAATAATAATAACCACAATTAATGTCATTGCTGCGCTGACTCACGGCCTCCTGTCTCCGTCTACAGGGTCTGACTCATCTCCATCAGCACAAGGTCATCCACAGAGACATCAAGGGACAGAACGTCCTGCTGACTGAGAACGCAGAGGTCAAACTAGGTCAGTCTGTCATCTAACCCCCACTTGACAACAAAAAAAAAAAAAAAAGTGGCTTCAGGAGCGGGAGGACAGTAGGAGGTGTAAAGTTTCAGATGGCAGCGCGTGTGGCTTTTCTTTCTTCTTTTTATGCTGAACACCAGCCTACTCGTCTCTTTGTCGTGGTGCAGACTGCTGAAGAAGGGGTTCTCTCTCTTTCTCCCTCCTCTTGCCTTAAATCCCAATGAGGAGGGGATTATAACAGTGTGCATGTGAACTGGGTGTGCATGTTGGGTGTTTAGAATCAGTCAGTACAGCTCACTGGTTCTGTCTGTGTGTGCGTAGTGGACTTTGGTGTTTCGGCCCAGCTGGACAGAACAGTCGGAAGGAGGAACACGTTTATCGGGACGCCATATTGGATGGCGCCGGAGGTCATCGCCTGTGACGAGAATCCCGACGCCACATATGACTTCAAGGTGATTTTTACAGCCTCCTTTCCTCTAAAGATCCTCCCACCTTTCCGATCACTCTAACTATTTATATTGCTTCGGTTTCAGAGCGACTTATGGTCGCTGGGAATCACAGCGATAGAGATGGCCGAAGGAGCACCACGTACGTACCCACTCAACACCTCGGTTACACATCATTTCTTAGTCTTGGCACAGTAGATCGCTGCAATCAGGAGTCAGATCTCTTTTTTTTTTTGTCCAGGCAAGTCATCTGGAGCTGTAATTTTAATTAAGGAGCAGATAGAAAATTGGTTGTCACATTGCCAGGCTGCTGCCCGATGTTTCTTTTATTCATTATCTTATTCCTAGAGGTGCAGTTGTTATCATTACAGGTGACAAGACGTGCTGCCTCTACTCTGATTAATTTTAGTTTAAAAAAAAACAAAAACACAACTTGGTCTGGCCAAGATGCTTGATCACAGTAATGGAAGAAAATCATTTGGTTATGGATGTATGATAATGTTGCAAAAAAAAGTCAAACTAACCTCCCTTGTCTACTTTCTGACTCTTCAGCACTGTGTGACATGCACCCAATGAGGGCTCTCTTCCTCATTCCACGCAACCCGGCCCCCAGACTCAAGTCAAAGAAGTGGTGAGTGTGTGTCTCGACAATTGCGTTCCGTATTTGCAGACACGTCTGAGCGAGAGCAGGGAAATGAAACGCAACACGGTGAAGTCTGCCGCTTGTGCCGTGCTTTTTTTTTTTTTCAGATGCATTTCTGGTGTCTGTGTGTGCTTTCAGGTCGAAGAAGTTCCAGTCCTTCATAGAGAGCTGTCTGGTGAAGAGCCACAGCCAGAGACCCAGCACAGAGCAGCTCCTCAAACACCCGTTCATCAGAGACCTGCCCAACGAGAGGCAAATCCGCATCCAGCTGAAGGACCACATCGACCGCACCAAGAAGAAGAGGGGCGAGAGGGGTGAGCGACTACTCCATTCAAAACAGCTGTACACATGTGGCGGATGGAGTATTAACAAGCTTCGGTGACATAAAGAGAAAAGTTATGGTGACATTACATATACATGTACACCTCTGAAACTAGTTCTTTTCAGGTTAAGATATATAGTCTGCTTTATTTGGGGTCTTTTATGGTCACTGGGAATAAGCAAGTGCAGCTTGTGGCTCATGCTGCAAGTCTATTCCAACCCAACAGTGGAGCACAGCGAGGAGTCGGCTGGTCTCGCTGTGTCTCGCTGTGTTTTTAATGTGAAGCAGCAGGACGAGATGCTCGGTTTTGCTCCAACGTGCTGCAGCGCTGATACGCCTGCAGGTGACTAAACAGTGATCAATGAGGCTGATATGATTGGAATAAAATTAAAAACCAGGATACTGAATTACATGCAGATGTTGTAATTATGGACGCAGTGGCCAACAATGAGTGTTTAAACAGGTAATTATGCAGTGGTGGAAGGTAATGAAGTACATTTACTCAAGTACTGTACTTCTGAGGTACTTGTGCTTTACTTGAGTATTTCCATTTTACTACTTTTGCCACTTTGGGATTCTACTCCACTCTGATTGTTTGACAGCTTTAGTTGCTTTTAAACTGAAGGATTCACACAATATAACAAACTTTTACAATACAACAAATTGTTAAAGCGTAAATCCACCTTCTGATGTCTCAATAAAGCAGCGTCTAGTCAGGGTCACATTTGTTTGAGTCGGCTTCACCAAACAGTGATTTTTTTTTTCCTCCCCTCCCGACTTCACACATGGTTTCATTTCAATAAATGTTCCAATATCTCTCCAAAAAAATCAATGATTAGAGAAAAAGTCCTGAAAATGAAAGTGTATCTGTTCTTCTTTACGCTCCCATTAATCATCTGACAACCCTTCAGATTTATCTGCAGTCCCTTTATTGGAAACTTTAAATAAAGTAGTGAGAACCTGCAGCGGCTGCAACATGCTGCTAACACTCAGGCTGCAGTGTGAAGATGTAAATATGTCGTATTTAACCATCAGAGGCATCGACTCATTGCTTTTATTACAATGCAAGGAAAGATAAGTAGGTTTTTTCATGCAGGACTTTTTGCAGTATTTTTATATTACTAAGGATCTGAATACCTTTTCCACCACAGTAACTACAAAATCTAAATCTACCGAATGTTTATTGCAGAAAAACTGATTTATCTAAACATCCGTTGAGTGTATGACTGACACGCTTTCTCACACACATGAATACACACTCACTGCATGAACAAAACGTCTGCCTGCGAGGGGCGGGGTGACGCACACACACACACACACACGAAGTCTCACGCACATGCCCGTCACATTCGTGGTTTGCAGCGAGGCGGGAAATGAAAGTGACAGACTTCCATTAAACTCCACCACGACGCGAGAGCACGCTCGTGAGTGTCTGAGTGATAGACTGACAGTGGGACACAGAACAGCGTCAGTAAGAACCACATTAACCGCTTCAAGAAACAACATACTGCAGGGCGGACGTCACGATGATATATAGAAATGTCTTGTCATTGTGGGGCCTGAGAATTTCTCCGGCTGTCACTTTGTCACACTCCCGAGGACGGGTCTTGTGCGGATGTGTGCTCGGGAAGAGCCGGGCCACTTCTGCGACTGTTATGCTTTAAGCCCCGGCCGACTGAAAGAGCTCCGAGCTAATGTTCTCCACCTCACCACACACAGTAAAATTACAATTTATACTCTTATTCAAAGCGGCTAAAAGAAAGTGCCTTGAAGGAACGAGGACCTGGGAAACGCCTGAATCGTGAGCGGTTTGGTAATGAACGGAGGTAGTTCAAGTGAAAAATTCCAAACGTGGAGTGGAATGGCTTTGCTCTCCACTGGTTATTGCTTGTGTTTTATTTCTTTTATTCTTTCTCTCTCTCGCCGTCAGATGAGACAGAGTACGAGTACAGTGGCAGCGAAGAGGAGGATGAAGAAAGAGACATGGGTGAACCAAGGTCAGTGTCTTCTTGACACAAACACACTCTTCTATACCCATATTTCACATCTTTCTTAAGACCTCAGAATAATACTGCTCTTTAACTGGCCCATTCCCAGCTCCATTATCAACATCCCTGGTGAGTCGACCCTGAGGCGAGACTTCCTGCGCCTGCAGCTGGCCAATAAGGAGCGTTCGGAGGCACAACGACGGCAACAGCTGGAGCAGCAGCAGAATGAGGAGCACAAGCGCCTGCTGTTGGCCGAGCGGCAGAAACGCATCGAGGAGCAGAAGGAGCAGAGGAGGCGGCTAGAAGAGGTGAGACGGGTTTGGTTGAAGAGGAAGCATGTATTTACCCCCAAAAAGCCACTGACAGGTGAAGTGAATGGCAATTATTCTTGCTACACATCAAAGTTCTGCTGGGTAACCTTGGGTTCTGACATTCATATTGATGCTACTTTGACTTGTACCAACTGCCTAAACATTGCCCCCAACTATAGACAAACACACCTTGCAACACTGCAAAAATTATTGAGGAAGAGCTCGAGGAACACGACCAAGAGCTTTAGCCATTGAACAGGCCTCCAGACTCCTGAAATCTTCCAGTTAGTTATCTGTGGGATGAGCTGCCTAATCCGTCTGAGGCCAGAAGCCACAGGACCCAAAAGATCCTCTGTCAGTGTTGAGGTAATAGAACCACAGAAGACCCCCATAGAGCTCCTGTGTTCATCCTAGACGGGTCAGTTCTGGTGATTCAAAGAGGATCTACACCAGGGGTGCCCAATCCTGGTCCTCGAGAACCCCTATCCAGCATGTTTTAGACGTTTCCTTCTTCCAACACACCTGATTCACATGATCAGCCCATCATTAAGCTCTGCAGAAGCCTGATCATGAAGATCCTGATCATTTGAATCAGGTGTGTTGGAAGAGGGAAACATCTAAAACATGCTGGATAGGGGCTCTCGAGGACCAGGATTGGGCACCCCTGATCTACACAATATTAGGCAGGTGGTTTTACTGTTGTGACTGATCGGTGCAGCTTATCTCACTGTGGACTCCTTTCCAGCTCTACTGCAAAGTCCTGCACAGCTATGGAAACGATACAACCTTTGCTAGAAGCAGAGAGAACTCCAAAGGGTCTTCTCTGCAATATGACACAGTTAGAATGCCATAAATAATAGAAGAAAAAAAACATTTGAATATTTACAACAGTTCAAAAAATCTGGAATCAACATGTGGAATATTTTGTGTCCACAGTTGTCACCACTACGAAGAGAAAATCTAATGCTATACATACTGTAGATACTTCACTAGTTACCTTTATAATTAGTTTTTGTCCTTATATCCTATCTAACACCAAAAAGTTCACAAAAAAAGAAATCCCTGAGTTTTTGTGAATGACTGTTGATTGCAGCTAAATCACTAATACCTTCACAGTTGCACCAAGAAGCAAAGTTAGTTAGTTAGTTAGTTAGTTAGTTAGTTAGTTAGTTAGTTAGTTTATTTAAATTTTGGATAATGCAAATGGTGTTATTGGTAAATTTTAAATGAGACATGTAGAATAAAGTAATTCTGATGAACTGTCGTGATTTTTAAGCGTAGATTTGGTTTTTTGACTGCACATCACAGATTGGTTCAGGACTGTTGAAAAGCTGAACATCTCATGAGTCTTTCTGTTTTTACAGTTTCTGATAAATGCTGTGATTTTGGAGATTTTTTCAAAGATGACCTTCGGGGTTCTGAAGGTTATTGGCCCAAATAGGAATTGACCAAAAAGGATATATTTGACCTGCTTGCAGTAAATTCACAATCAACGCTACCTTCTGTGAAACCCTTTAAAACCCATATGAAAACATAATCGGTCCTCGTTCTGGATGCTTAAGCTTACATTGTTTGAACTCACCATTGTGGTAGAGGACGGAGGAAGAGCTTGTTACAGAGACACACACAGCCTTTTCCCCCAGCGTGGCTCTCTTAGTACCAGAGAGCAGGCTTACAGAAGGAAATCCTTAGCCCATAATCTGTGTGCTTTCTCTGGGTTCCCACCAGGCCTCGCCTCCCAACGCACGGCTAAGCACCATGACTCGACTCAACTAACATGACCCCACCGCTCAGGGCCAAGTGTGTGTCTGCGACGCCGTGTGTCCGACGGCAGGCGTGTTAGTTAGAGTGTGAATCTACTGTAGAAGGTGTAAAACACAACAAGAGGTGTTCCACAGAAAAAAAAAATCAAATGGAATGAGGGGCACAAGTCTGAAATTTGAAGCTCTTTGTGGAAGCATGTCCTCCTAATTTGTTGCATGGAAACAGACGATCGGTGTGTTGATGGCGGATCTTCCATGTGCTTCTGTTCTCCCGACAACAACAGCAGCAGCAGCGAGAGCGCGAGCTGAGGAAGCAGCATGAGAGGGAACAGAGGAGACGCTACGAGGAAATGGAGCAGCTCCGTAGAGAGGAGGAGAGGAGGCATGCGGAGAGAGAACAGGTTCATACACTTGCTAATATATTATCTTCAAACTGCAAATACAGTATGTAGACAGGCAAGTGTGGTGCTGCAGAAATATGATGATGATTCAAGGCTAAAATACCTTTTATGCCCCGAAACCCTGTTTTCTCTTTGCTTGTTTCTTTCATCCCAGATGTCTTGTACTGTCTTCCTAAGATGCATTATATTCTTCCTGAATTACCTCCGGGATATGTTTTTGCAAAAAAATTTTTGTATAGGATTTCAGTTTTAGACACAGAGGACCTAATTACATGGTTGCTCTGTGATTTTTCTTTGTTTTCCTGTTAATGGTCACATTCTTCTTTTTACCGTCGGGCAACCCTCTTATTTTCAGCTCTTGCTTTATGCCTGGAAAGGATCACACCTCCTGCATCTTTCCCCTTAATTTCCCGATAGATTTCTCCTAATTCAACAGCTACTTAGTTTCTAGGACGACATCGGGATGCTTAGAATTGCCCAAAGTGTGGGAGAAGTTCTGTAGTGTCAGCTAATGTTGATCTTATTTCATGTTTGAAAAATGTAGGAAACACGTATATTTGTGAGGTAATGACTAATGGCTAGACTGCTGCGATACAACATGTTGCATTCCATTACTTATTATACTCTGAGGTCCTGTTGAGACCCAAGGACATTTTTCAGGTCTCATAATATTGTGTCTAAATGTCAAAAGGAATTTTCTTCTTCAACAGTCGTCTTTCTAGCTGTGCTATTTGCAGCCGATGATAAAGTGTCAGAACCTGGCTCACAGCTTGACAGGCAAAAGCTGAATGTTTTCAAGCCTAAATATGAAAATCTTTTTTTAAAAGTACTAAACAAAAAGTATTAAAACCAGCTACATTACATAAAGTTTTCCTAAACTATAGAAACCCAGCCCCTTAGTCTCCTTTCTCTTCGTCCTTTAGTTGTGGCAGATCTTTTGTTTGAATTTCTCCTTATCTGGAGTGATCCTTCTTCTTCCTCGCGCTCACTTAATTTCCTATTTTTGTCATCCTTATGCACTCTATGGCAAAAAGCCATTAAAAGTTACTTATGGGAATTGAAAACTCCTCCTATAAAGTTTTAGAAAATAAAGAAAAATGACGCTGTCAGTACAGCAAAGTCAGGTTTTCATCGTGTGTCTGAAGCTTTCTCTGAGATCCTCTTTCTAATTTTTCTCCCACTCTTTCTTATATTTTGACTGTTCTGTATCTTTCTTTCTTTTTTAACTGTTCTTCCTCTTGTCCTCTCAGTGAACTGCAGTTCTGATGTGTATTTTCTGTCTGTCCGGCTCCCTCTTTATCGCTCCGCTGCTCTTCCTCCCACGCTTTTCAACTGTTTTGGAAAGATATCCTTGCCAGTTTTCCTTTGTAACGTATTACGATTGTTTGAGGACACTGTCTTCTTCACTTTGTCTGGCTTTCTTTACTATCATCTTCTCTCCTCATTCACAGCCACTTCGGGATATTATCTCGTCTATTCCTCCTTTTCTGTTTGTGTCTTTCTCGCTCTCGAGTGTTCAGATTTCCCGATCTTTCTCTCAAAACCCTCTCTATCTCCTTGTGCCGACATGCTGCTCAGGAGTATATCCGTAGACAGCTTGAAGAGGAGCAGAGGCAGTTAGAGATTCTCCAGCAGCAGCTACTACAGGAACAGGCTTTATTGCTGGTAATCACGGCCCTCCCACGTGCTACTACTGCTCCCCCATCTGTGCTGTGTGGTCCCTATCCCCAATGCATGGCCCCCCGAGTGCAAGTGGAACGGAGGAACTAACAGCGAAGGGAATCCGCAGCCAGAGCTCCCTCAGCCTGTTAGCTACAGATTTTTTTTTTTTTTTTGGGGTGAGGGGGAACATGAAACAATGAGTCGCTTATCTCTAATGCCTGTGTGGATTTAGTCACATCACTGATTGCATGTACGCTATCGTTAAGTTGGCTGGATCTCAAAGGATTCCCCAGAGGGTGCAAAAAATAATGTTTTGGCAGTCCTGTCATGTTGGCCTACGCAAAGAGAAAAATAGGACATTGTTGTTTTCCACGGAGCGTTTCTCTCAGTGAACCAGTGTTGTCTGGGGCAACAGTTGAGCTTTATGAGTTCAAAGAATTACGGAGTATGTTATGCAGCGTTAGTCTCGTGCTCCTTTCATCCAGTTAAAAATTTAGGCGGCGGAAAAATCTGCGAGGAAACATTTGAGATCCACCCTACATGAACGCCACGAGCACCAACACTGAGCCATGTTGTGGTGTCTCCGTCCCTCCCCTCCGCTTCCCTGTTTAATATTATTTACCAAAACCCAAGTCTGATTTCCTTTATCCATCATCAGCATTTGTGCTTATAGTTGTGAAAAGTGTGTCCTCATGTCGTCATTATTTGTGTTTATCGTGTATTTTGTGACTGCATGACTCAAATCTGACACCAGCGACAGACTCGTGTCACTCTTATAGTATTTGCAAATACAAACACAACAAGTGAGAGTATTTTGGGAACTATTCAAGTCATGCTGAAGATTTTAACACATGGATAATAACAATGATGCTTTGCAACTGCTATTACAGCTGCCTCTGGTTGCGAATTGAAAAGCTGTGTTGGTGTTGATCTCCGTCTCCCTCTGTGCCTTTCACGACCCCCTTGTTCCTCACCCTTTCTCCCCACATCCCAATCATTCTTCCTGTCTTTCCTCCTCTACTTGTGTCACCCATTTTTCCCTTCCTTCTCCCATTCACCGTCTACATTTCTACCCCTCCAGGAGTACAAGAGGAAGCAGATTGAGGAGCAGCGACAGGCAGAGCGGCTACAGAGGCAGCTCCAGCAGGAGAGAGCCTACCTGGTGTCTCTACAGCAGCAGCAGCAGCAGCAGCAACAGCAGCAGCAGCAGGAGGGAAGGCAAGCAGAGAAGAAGCCGCTTTACCACTACAAGGATGTCATCAATCCTAATGACAAGCCCGCCTGGGCTAAAGAGGTAAGTCCCAACATGCATGACGTACAAGAAAAGAACATGCATGAATGTCTGAATATGTGATGAGTTTTGTTCCAAAATGTGGAATCGCTTTTCTCAGATGACGTAAAGTGCCAAATGTTTTGGAAGTCAGCTCCCATGAGTAGCCTTCTTGTCTTGTGAGTGTCTCATCCAGCAGGTCTTACCACAACCAGCGGTCCTTTGAGGAACAAGTGTCAAGATCTCGCTTTTTGAATCTAAAGACCCTTTTTTAAATGGATGTTGCTGCCTTACACTGTGATGTCTGTTTTGTGTTTGTTGTACTTGCTTACCCTCCTCTGACTCTGACTCTTAGGTCCTGAAGCAGCAGCATGCTCACGGTAACCCACCTCGCTCCCACCTTCGACATCACCAGTCATTCAACCAACCAGCACCAATCCCCGGCTCCCACGCCCAGCCCAGAGCTCAGGCCCCTAAGCGAACCCCCTCCCACGCCGCCCAGCTCCTCTCCAACCACCTCCCAAATATACGTATTTCATTAGAACCTGGGGAACCCCTAGATCCAGGGTTGAAGCAGGAGATAAGTCAGCAGGTCAGAGAGTTTAGGGCGCAGAGACACAGCGATAGGGGTCGCAGCCCGAAGGGGGTTAGTCAAGGGCCAGTCAGTCAGCCTAATCCAGTACCCAACCCTTATTCACCTGTTCCCAGCAGTCACAAAGATAAGCCCAGAGACAGGCCTCTATCTGCCCCCAATCAGGCAGCCATCCAGGGGCTATTGTCTCCGGACCCACAGCTTAAGGCTCCTCATCTGCATCCTCCAGGAAAGGTCCAGAGTCCCCACTCTGGTTCAAACCCTGTTTCCATCAATATGCTCAAACCGGTTAGTAATCATCTTCGCAGCAGGTCACACTCACCCTGCAGGAGAATGGACGTAGACATAGAACCTGGTTATGAAGGAGGGTGGCACGCACAGATGAAGCCAGCTCGTAGCTTCAGCAACATTATGATGTCCTCAGACCTTGAGGACTTTGACGAAACTGACCCCCTCTCTCAATCCTTCCCTGTAAATGTTCTCCACTCTGCCCTGGCTAGACAAAGGAACTCCTACTCACCTGCCCCAACCAGTGGCAATTTTCTCCAAGTCCCTGACAGCAGTTGCTTCCCTTTCCCTCCTTCTAGTAGGGTCAGATCAGTGGAGAGACTGGGGCAAAATGCAATTAGAGGTAGCTCCTCGATGTGTGACCTCAGTGCTTCTGCCCCTGAAGGCTTACTGAGACAGAACCTCGGTAGTCTACAGAGCAGACACTCCTCTGAACACCTGGAACGCCGCGTTCCAGTCAGTTCACCTCCATCAGCGTGTCTTTTGTCCCCCACTTCGCCACAAATCACACCCTCATGCTCCCCCACATCCTCAAGATCAGGGTCCAGCATTACCTCCCCTCTAATGTCTCCTGATGACTTTTGGCCCAACGCAACCATGATACGTTATCCACCTGTCCAAGCCACCCTCCTCTTGCCCAACCAGAACTCCTTTCCTGTCCTCATCTCACCTGATACTACACCTCGCTGCTCCCCAGGAGGCTCTCCCTTTGGATCCCAAACCCTGATCAACATCACACTTGTTGGAGGACAGTCCTAGACTCTTCTTCAAAGCAAATGTATATAAGAACACTTGTACTTCTATATTTGTGATTAAAATAGTGTGTTTTCTGGACCTTAGCCATCACAACTAAAATTCGAGTCCCAACCTCAGCTGTTTAGTACTAGTTGAAACCATATGGAGGTTATGATGAACAATTGTCTAATTAATCATACAATATACAACAGAAACGAGTACACCCCTGTGCAATATTGCTTCAAAGTAAAATGATTCAAAATTATATCACCTCTCTGTAATTGCATTATCTCTGTAGTATTTCCTCTCATGAAATAATGCCAAATACTTTAGAAAGACTACATTGAAAAAACAGACCCCTAATTATAAACTCAGTAAACGTGGGGGGAAAAAAGCTATTGGCTGCATCTGGACATGGGAATGGATTGCCAGAGGATTTGAAAAATCCGACTGTTAGACATAACAAAGGTAGAAAAAGATACAGGAATATGGCCAAAAATAACTTTGGTGCAGTAATCAGAAGATACAAAGCCGTAGTACCAGTAATCAGAGCTGCAGTGGTTGTCTGCCTGAAGTGACACCGAGGAAAATGCACCACAATCTAGCTTTGAAAAACAGAAAGCCAAGTAATTCAGACTTAATTCAGACAAAAAAAAACACTAGGACTGCCACAGTGAATGCAAACTCCTGATAGTGAAGCATGAAGGTAGGAGTGTGATGACAAAAGGTACGAGTACCTGCAGATGTTTCAAAATCCTGGCTGATAAGATGACCCCGAGGCTCGAGGGACGTGCAGAAGAGGAATTTACCAAGATGATAACCACCCAATGCACAGTGCCAAAATCACACAAGAAAGAAACCAGTGAACACAGTGAGCTGCCCAAGCACGTTGCCTGACTTGAGTCCAGATGAACAGAATTAGATAGGCAGGGCAACTCAACCGCTCCAAGAAAGAGTAGCTGGAAAATATTCTCTAAAAAAAAGTGGTGCATGTCTCGACAAATGTGTGCAACAGTTGCAGACTGCACTCTGAGGAAAACTAAGACTGTCAACAGAAGTAAAGGTGGATATAAGCAGTACTGAAAGAAATAAAGATTGAAATGACTTAAGTTGCACTGAGTTCCTAATGAGTATTTATAATATAGTAGATCCAAACTGTTCAACTTAGAAGTTTAGCAGATACTGTAAGGTGGTACAATTTTGTGTCATTTAATATTTATTTGATATCGTACAGGGGTGTGACGTTGTGTACAGTTTATGAAGTCAAAAAGAAATAACAGTCAAACATGTCACTTTTGAGAAATCCCTTCACCTCCAAGGCCTCTAAGGTTCTTACAAAGATAGAAGTATGCAGATAAATACAGTGTATATTAAAGATTTTGTATATACCTATAAAGTGTACATGTTTTACTGGAAGTTGCATATTTACTTACTTGTTTTATAAGGTTGGAATGGTTTTGTTTTATATACTGAAAATATTCCGTACTGGGATTGGGATCCAGAGGAGAGATGCCGATGTTCAGGGACAGTCTAATATCACCCTGATTTAGATGTAGTTTAGTTTGATCTACAACCCTGCACCAATGCCCCACCCTGCCAGCCCCCATGTGACCCTTATCAACCCACAACCTTGGTGAGCCTTCTCCTAGACATATTGGGTTTGATGGCATCGGGGGAAAAAAACCCACCCATTCCAGCTTCCTTTAGGTCAGTCAACCAGTCAATCATATCCCACCTTGGTGATGGGTCCTGGCTAAGTGCAAGTGGTGGTGGGATCCTTCTAACAAACCTGAAGATCTGTCATCCATCTGTTCTTCTTCATCTTTTTTTTTTCTTTGTGTAGATGCAGCATTGTTCACTCTGTTTTCCCCCCGTAGTAGAAACAGTTTTTGGGTAGTAAACAGGGAGATGGGTGGCCAACAAAGAACAGACAGTAATCAGAAAATACAGAGCAAGCCGTAGTACCACTAATCAGAGCTGCAGCAGTTGTATTTTCTAAAGTACTAATTGCACAAACAGAAACAGACAGACTTGTGATTCAGACTTGGAACAGCCGTCATCAGTCGAAGTGCAATGGGAAAATAAAAAACCCTTGCTTTTTATTTGTAACAAAGCTTTTCAGTCAGGACTACCATGGTAAATGCAGATTCCTGACAGTGAAGAACGAAGGTGTAAACTGGTGTTAAAACCGAAATGCACAAAATTAGGATTTAAGCAGCACTACCCAAAAGCTTTTTCTTCTGTAAAGGGGGCTACTAACAGTGATCTCTCTCTTTCTTGTAGGTCAGTCAATGTTTGTGCTAATTGTGATCGCGCACTGCCTCCACAGGTCAAACTCGACCGCATTGATCGCGGCAGCACTTCTCCTAAATCACCGATTGTTCCTTTTCCAGTAGCACATTGTTCCTCAGTAGCTGCCTTTCGTGCGAACAGCTAACAAAGTATTTTAGAACTTTTTTAGCCGCTGTAGAAGTTGCAAAATCATAGTTGACTTCCTCGCAGTCTGCTAACACAGATTTGAGGAATGGCGCTGTATGGCATAGTTGCTTTGACCCAGGTCATAATCTTTGACTAATCCTGCTAGATTATGAGCTCATGTAGAATTACAGAAAGCCTCCAAAGGGGATGGTTCTCATTGCACATGCACATTTACCTGGAGGGGGGGGGGGGCAGCTATCAAAACTATGCCCTGCTGAGCCATGACTCAATGCCTAACCTATCATTCAGTAGATTGTGAACACTGGAAAAGTGTGATTTTGGCAGTTGGGAGCTTTCCTTGGAGCCTTCTCTTACTGCATAGAAGATAATCTGATAATCAGATTACACTGGCAAGAGCAGCTTTCAGCCTTCCTCGCACAGACATAAAGTATAGTGTGTATTTGCATCGATACACATGAGCACAATTGAGTTGAAAAAGATACCGAGACTCTTAACAAACAGCAAAACATGTTGTTTTTTTTTATGTGCACAGACTGCCTTTGCACATACTCACTCCCTTTATTCTGGTTTGAATGTGATGTCTGCTAAAGGAGATTAGGGATCATTCTTGACCTTTGTCTACAGCCACCAGACACTCTTACTTCTCAGCTGTATGTGGGACTTAGAGAGACGTATACACAAACAGTTACATTGAGGAGGGGGGGAGACGAAGATTAGGCAGATGGTGGTGAACAATGAACCAAATCCACATGTGCCAGTTAAGATTTGAGATATTCATTTGATGAGGGCTGCTGTGGAAGTTTGGATTTGGTTTAGCTGTGCTAAAACGGGTTACGACAGGAAAAGCAACACTTCCAGTTAATCGCTCAGAGCAGCTGCCTGATTATGTTTTTTTTTTAAAGTTCAGATATGAAGGGAAACTCACACATTTAAGAAAACGCCTCTCTTAGAATCTCTTTTCGTCCACGTGCCACACTGTGGTTGTCGCCCCCACAGAGCTGAGAGATGTTAAGATTGTCCGGTTGGCTTTTAGAGGTGCATGGGGGAAGAGGGGGGTGTCGACGGCGTTACCGTGGTGATTGGTTGTGCTGCGTGCTTGGCTGTGAGTGACGGTGGTAATGTGACCCGTCTCAGGTGGAGGAGCGATCTAAGCTGAACAGACAGAGCTCCCCGGCGCTGCAGCCCAAAGTGTCCAACCGCATCTCCGACCCCTCCCTCCCTCCCCGATCCGAGTCCTTCAGCAGCGGGGGCATGCAGCCCGCCCGCACCCCACCCATCCACCGCTCCATCGAACCACAGGTGTGTGTGTGTGTGTGTGTGTGAATGTTTGGTGTGTTTCCTGACAAGTAATCACAAACCTCTTTGCTCCTTGTTCTCGTCCTTTTAAAAGTGCAGATCTCCTAATCAGTCTCTTTCTTTTATCTCCCTTCTTTGCCTTTCATCATTCGTTCCCTGCGTATCTCAAATTTCACCTTTTCATCAACCTCCCACTATTTCTGTTTACATTGCTTATATTTTCTTTGCATTCTTCAAACTCTACTCTGTCGTGCACTGTTCCATCTTACCTTCCCTCCTCTCATCCCTTCTTCCATCATTTCCCACTCATTCTCTTCCTCTCTCTCCATCCCTTCCCTCCCACAGATGGCTCACCTGGTTCCAGTGAAGACCCACTCGGGCTCCATGTCCGGCTCTCAGTCTCTGCAGGACCAGACCGGCTCGGCTCTGAGCGAGGCCGTCAGCGCGGGCTCCCCGCGGCCCGAGATGCCCCGCCAGAACTCGGACCCCACCTCAGACACCCCAGGACCCCCGCTGCGCATCGCCGGCAGGGAGGAGCGGGACCGAGAGCGGGAGAGGGACAGGGATCGGGACAGAACCGCCTGGCTGAGAGAGGAGGACATCCCGCCCAAGGTTGGGAACCCAATCACTGATGATGTATTTCACAAACATTTTATATTCATTCTTTACTGTGTTGGACTGAACTTCTCTGTATCTTAGTGTTGCTCACTGCAGTGTCGTGTTAAATGCTGATTTGATGAAGTCTATTTTTTCCTCATTTGTTTTAATTAAAATCTGATTGAAGCTCTAATGTGCAACTTTGCAGAGAGTATTGACCTCTTCAGTCAAGTGAGGAAATTGAAATTATGCTGAAACGAGCGTAAAACAAAAATGACCCACTTTTGCAAAGGTTTAATCAGCTTGTATGTGATACAAGGCAAGGGAAAGGTTTCACTCGCCACACCCTGGCCTTGTTTTAATTCCACTTTTGTTGGCATTGTTAACTAGGACAGGTAACACTTCGAGGTAATCAGCATTACCGAGTAGCTGCTCATAGTATTAAAGTGTCACGCCCACACTAAAACATTTCAGCCTTTGCTTTTGTATTGGTAAAAATAAAAAGCTTTTAACTGTGTTTCAGGTGAAAAATCAGCTTGTACCAGTTGTGTTGATCTTGTGTTTGTCCATGTCCAGGTCCCTCAGAGGACCACTTCCATCTCCCCAGCCCTGGTTAGGAAGAACTCCCCTAATGGAGGAGTGGGTCTGGGCCCTCGTGCAGGTTCCCAGCTCATACGGGCCAGGTAAGGCCGAATAATCTCTCCTTTAAAAAAAAATTAATCTGTAATAGTTCTCATGTGTTATTTTTAGTTGTCTTCCAAAAAGAAATAAATGCTGGTATTTTACATTTTGAAACTGCTGAGCAGAAGCTATTGATTGCAGAAATTCCAACATTCATTTTTTTTTGCAGTCCTTTTCCAAAGATTATTAAAAGCACATCGCAATGAGAATTCACATGGACGAACCGAATTCGTTTTTTTTTATAACACCTAAAATCACAAGTAAACATAAGAAAATACAACAACCCTGTTGGAGACTGTGTGATAACATGAATACAAACCACACACACATCTTTTGGAATTGTATGTAAATCCAGTCTTTCTGGCGTCGTATACATTCAGTTCTGTGCAAAGTACTGGGTTATGTTGTTCCCCGATCATTTCTTGTGTTATACCTGGGACATCTGGAAGGATCTGTACATGTTGGTGATCGATACCTGGTCAAGATTCTTATTGCGGCGGCAAAGAAAACCATCACTAAGAACTGGCTAAAAGCTGAGGCACCAAATCATAAACAGTGGTTGTCGATTATAGAAAACATCCTTGAGATGGAGAAGCTTTCCTTTAAACTGAAACTGAAAGAAGAAGACTTTGTAAAAGGCTGGGAGAAGTGGTTGAGATATACAAAACAAGCTTAAGCACTTGTAAGTGATAGAAGAATGTTACTGACGTATGAATAGGCTGGGGTGTTTGTGACCATTGTTTATATGTTGTTGTTTATCTTTGTTCTACCATCACTTTCATGGATTGTTTGATGTATATTGATGGCGATCGTATAATGGATGGATTTAAAATAAAAATATAATAAATAAAAAGTTTTAAAAAAGCACATCTCAATGAAAACATTTGTTATCCTGTTTCAGTAACCCAGACCTGCGGCGCTCGGAGCTCTCCCTGGACGCCATGCTGCAGAGAACCTCCTCCAACTCGTCATCTTCCTCCTCCCCTTCATCTCAGGGAGGCTCAGCCGAGAGGAGAGGTACAAAAACACAGAAACCCTAAAAGTCTGTTGACTCATGCACACACCTAAACTGGCAAACATGCATGGGCGTAAACCGTTAAAAACCAGAGCGTGTGCGTGATTTTGCGCAAATGCGGACAGACAAAACGTCGGCGTACGCTCGCGTGGCTTCAGAGGCCATCAGCGGGACGTTGTCAGTCGCAGTTCTGCTCTGATCAACCTGTCTGATGTGCCCTGTTACTCTCAGCCTCCGGAGAGATAGAAGAGAGGAAATGAGAGAGGGAGATAGAGAGAGGTGTAGAGGGATGTGTCAAACAAGCGGCCAGAGGGATATCTAAGATATGCATGGATCTCCCTCTGACAAACACATGGCACGGAGAGAGGTGGAAATGTGGATACGGTTTGTTCACTCCTGTTAGATGTTAAACGCAATCATGTTGGCAGCAGATAATCAAAACTGTAGCGATGTGACAGACAGAATAAGAAAAATACAAAATAGCTTAAGAAGTATAGAATGGATCGCCGTATGTTTTCATCCAGATCGCACAAATTCAAACTTCTATACGAATAGCTTAAAGCTATTTTTGTTTGCCGATAGGTCAAACCAAGCAGGAAGGATCCCCTCCAGGAGCCAATCAGGAGGCAAAGCCCAAACAGGAGGAGGGTCGTGAATCAGCCAGACCCAGCAGACCTGCAGTGAGTCACACAGGATCACTTTCTGTCGCAGCCATCTCCTCTCTGGGAACCTTTTACAGGCCTCCTCTTCTTTTTTTATTTCCTACTATTCACCCAGTCTTTCTTTCTCTGCTCTCTGCTCTCTCTCTCTCTTTCTCCTTCCATTCTTCAGAGCTATAAGAAAGCCATAGATGAGGTCAGTGACAATCGAGTCCCCTTTTCTTATATCCTGGTTTTTCCTTTTTGCCTCAGTCTTCAGAGCCCCTCTTCTTACCCCCCCAGCATGGTGGAGTTAGTTGGAAGAAGATGACTTTTCCCCTTTTCTAACTCTTGAGCTATCAGGGCGTAATGGCAACGGCAGTGCATGTGTGCTTCTACACACATACCTGAGAGAGTGTATGTGGACGCGTGCTTGTGCGGGTTTGATGTGCATGTGTGCGTGAGCGCGAGTGTGCAGATGTGTGTAACTGCCAAGCACCTGAACAGTCTCTGAATCTCTTTTCCTGTTTCTTTGTTGTCATGGTTACTGGTCAGGAGGAGCTGGTAAGCCTACCGTGTGTCAACGGTCACCCAACCACCACCCCCCACCCCACCCCCCTCCCGTCTGCATGATTTGGTCTGATCCATCGGCCGGGGTGATGGGGAGGGAGGTACAGGAGGAGGAAACGTGGGCCAGTTGGCATGGGGGTGATTGGTAGCAGGGGAGGAGGGCAGAGTCATTCTGCACTACCAGTAGTACATGGAGCCTGATTATCTGTCTTTCTCTCTTCCTATGACCTGCGTAATATTTGCTTGTATGTGAATAAAAGTGCTGATTGCGATCACTCCTCACTCGTCCAAAAAAAACACACATTTTAAATGCGAAGCTAAGAAACGGTGCTCTCAACTCAGCACTCTTGTTCCTTGAGACTTTCCAGGCCCAGATGTTTGTGTGACAACACGTCTGTTGTCCTCTTGTCATGATACTGATGGTTTCGTCCTATTCTTTGATCCTCTGCTCCCCTATGCCCTTGTATGCGATTCGGTCTCTCAATCCTCAGACTGACGATGCAGAACCGATTAGCTAAATGACTTTGTGTGTTTCTCCTCTTCTCTTCTGTGCCTTGTTGTAGGACTTAAGTGCGTTGGCCAAAGAACTCAGAGAACTGAGGGTCGAGGAGGGAAGCAGACCTCCAGTCAAGGTACGATTTTTAGTTTTGACAACGATGGCAAAAATATACAGATGGGTGACGAATGAAAGGAAAAATTCTAAATCCTTGACTACTACAGTGAGGCGGTGGCTCTGCTTAGAGGGCGCATTTTACCTGCATGTTTGGGTCTTCTAGCCCTGTAAGGAGGAAGGATTACTGCAAATCAGTTGTGCTGATTGATCACCTCTATCCAATGATGAAACATCTCTATCCTGATGCAAGTGATCTCCTCCACATTTACAAACCCTCCACCTATAGGGCTAAAGCAGGGGTCTCGAACTGCGGTCCTCGAGGGCCGCAATCCTGCAAGTTTTAGATGTTTCCTTCTTCCAACACACCTGATTCAAATGATCAGGATCGTTATCCGGCTTCTGCAGAGCTTGATGATGAGCTGATCATTTGAATCAGGTGTGTTGGAAGAAGGAAACATCTAAAACTTGCAGGATTGCGACCCTCGAGGACCGGCGTTCGAGACCCCTGGGCTAAAGGCTGTATGAAAATGATATGAATCACATACTATGGTCTTTGCAGTCACCAGATCTTAATCCAATTAAACATCTATGACAGATGTCAGGCTGACAGAGGGAATATCTTTTGGTAAAATGGTGCTTATCCCTCCAGTGGAGCTTCAGAGCCTTGTAGAACCAATGCCAAGGTGCACTGAAACTGTTGTAGCAGCATGTGGTGGCTGGACACCTTACAAAGACTCTTCATGCTGACTTTTCCTTTGATTTGTTACCCGTCTCTATGTACTTTATCTTTTAAATCTACAAATACCAGATGCAGACCCACAGAAATGACGAGCTAAAAAAAAATCTATTTTCATTGTGATTCACTTTGGAAAGAGAAAAGCAAAAATAAAACCAACAACACACACTTCTACCCGACTATTAAACAATAAAAATTAATTAGTCTCCGTCTGCTGTTGCGATCTCTGAACGGTGCTTCAGCAAACTGCAGCAACACTTAAGATTGTAGATATTTTTCTCATGGAGCACCTTAATTAGAAAGGAATCGTATACTTTAAGATATCTTTTTAGCAAATTTATGTAATCTTGAAGACAGTATTTGGCGATTTGTTTACAATTTATAAGGTGGGAGCATAGTTTAAAGATTCTTGTAGAAATTTTTTGTGAAAGTTTTCATTTATTGTTAATTGACACAACACTGTGTGAATCCATTAGCACAGATAAATGTGTTTGCAGTGCATTTCTTTCCTAATCCAAAAGTATTTCTTTATTCCTTAGGTCCTGCATCCTTGACATTCATGCTTGCTAGCTAGCAGTCTACATCGTCCTTGCCTTAATTGCAAATTATGATCTGCTTTTTGTGCATTACTTCTTCCAACAGCAGAAAAGTATAAAAAAGGAGATTGTGTTTCCCACATTATTGCCAAGTGTGCAAGTGTATGTGCACAATACAAACAACATCCATCCATTATCTATACACCACTTAATCCTCACTAGGGTTGTGGAGCCTATACAAACAACATCAGGACTCATTATAGTGATCACAAACATCCACAAGGTCCTGTTAATTCCAGTAATTCTAAATGAGCTTCGGAGGTAATTTTGATGCTAATAACTACCTCGTCTTTCACAGTCTTGTTTCTCAGAGCAGGGGTGTCGAATCCTGGTCCTCGAGGGCCGCAATCCTGCATGTTTCAGATGTTTCCTTCTTCCAACACGCCTGATTCATATGATCAGGATCGTTATCAGGCTTCTGCAGAGCTTGATGATGAGCTGATCAATTGAATCAGGTGTGTTGGAAGAGGGGAACATCTAAAACATGCAGGATTGCGGCCCTCGAGGACCAGAGTTTGACACCCCTGTCTCAGAGGGTCTCTCGCCATTTATCAATCTAAAAAAGCTGATTTGTGTTTGTACTCTTTGTGCCCCGATGAAGGTGACGGACTACTCGTCCTCCAGTGAAGAATCAGAGAGCAGCGACGAGGATGGGGAGACGGTGGGTCACGATGGGACCGTCGCCGTTAGCGACATCCCCCGCATCATGTAAGTTCTCTGTTTCTGTTTCTTCACTCTCTCACTCTGTTTACTTTACAAGTCTGCCCCGTCAGTGTCCGTTTATATCGAGATATGCATGTGTTGGAATATGCACCATGCCAGTAGCTTGTCGGTATAGTTTTAGCAGAATTACTTTGTAAATGATCCCATCTGTGAGCGTGTGTGTCTCTTGTGTGTGTGTTCCAGGCCAGCAGTGCAGAGCAGCGGTGAATCGTATGGAGGGCTGACAGAGGACTCTCTGGGAGATGCCTATAATAGCTCCAAGGACGGTACTCTGGTGATGAGAGAGGTGATAAATGTGCACACACACGTACACTCTCAAGCGTGCACACACACACAAGCTGCATGAATTTAGACTAAAAAAAAGAATAAAAACTGAGAGAATGTTTGCAATTTAGTTTCTATTCTGCTATGAAACTAGCTAGTTTTGCCTCCTCATTGCCACTTTTTCTTCTTTTTTCCTTGTTTTTCTGTAAAGTTCCCTCGTTACTGACTCATACTTTTCTGTCTCGCAGGCGGAGGAAAGGAGGAGAGGTGGTCACGGTGAGAGTAATGGGTTCGGGAATCACAGTAACCATGGTAACCTCCCTGACCTGGTGCAGCAGAGCAACTCTCCGTCAGCCACGCCCACCACAGCGCTGCAGGAGCTGAGCGACATGGCCGAGGTCAGACATGTCACATATGCACATTACCAGCCATTCCTGATAGTCATGTGTGTGTCTCTATATACGGCTCCTGCTGAACAATGTTTTGTTGTTTTATAGTTCGGTGTGGGCGGGTCCAAAGCGTCATTCACCCCATTTGTTGACCCACGGGTCTATCAAACCTCCCCAAGTGACGACAATGAGAATTCAGCAGCAGGTAGGAGCATAGCGTGGGGTTGTGGACATGTCTTCAGCCTTAACTTCAATGTTCTCAACAGAAAACTTTTTTTTTTAAATCATTTAGTTACTGAATTGTGTCTTTAAAATGACTCGTGTTAGTTTTGCACTTCCAATTTCATGCCAGTTGTCAAAACACTCCGTCTTCCTCTGTGCTGTCCCAGCCATGTTTGCCAATGAGCTGCTGAGGCAGGAGCAGGCCCGACTGAACGAAGCCAGAAAGATCTCTGTGGTGAACGTCAACCCCACCAACATCAGACCTCACAGTGACACGCCAGAGATCCGTAAATACAAGAAGCGCTTCAACTCTGAGATCCTGTGTGCCGCGCTCTGGGGTAAACATCCTTTATCCTTCCCACTACACAAGCAAATCCTCTCTCTTAAATATCTCTTATATCTCTGCCTTGTTGTTTGTCTTTCTGTGTCTCTGACTCTTGTGTGTGTGTGTGTGTGTGTGTGTGTGTGGGTGTTTAGGTGTGAACCTGCTGGTAGGGACAGAGAATGGTCTAATGCTGCTTGACCGAAGTGGACAAGGTAAAGTCTATAACCTGATTACCAGACGGCGCTTCCTGCAGATGGATGTGTTGGAGGGCCTCAATGTGCTAGTTACTATATCTGGTAGGTACAATGTTCACACGGTATGCACAGAGCGCGCTCATATCTGAATGCAGATTGCAGCAGCATTTCAGTTCTCAGCTCAGTTGAAGTACGTTATTATCCAGAGATTAATTGGTTTTGTACCTTCAGTATCTTATTTGTTTAATGTTGTATTCTCTCATAAAATGAAGAGGAAATGTTAAAAGTACAAGAATAGATAAGAATACATTTTATGTGTATTAAAACATATTTTATTCATCTCCTCACAGTAGCCGGATAATCTGCCAAAATTGTGCTTTTTTTTTTTTGGGCCATTTATCACTTTATTGCAGAAAATTTGATCTAATTTCTCCTTCTGTGTTTGTCTCTTCCCTCTCAGGGAAAAAGAATAAGTTGCGGGTCTACTATTTGTCCTGGCTGAGGAACAGAATATTACACAATGACCCGGAAGTAGAGAAGAAGCAGGGTTGGATTACAGTTGGAGAGCTGGAGGGCTGTGTGCATTATAAAGTTGGTAAGAATCTGGTCCTATTTGTCTAAAATATTTTTGATGTGAAGGTTTCTGTATGAAAGGTCAATATTTTAAACGAGACAACAGAATGGATAGTAGTCTATGTTCAGGTGAGCTGCATGTAGGTCAGCTATGCTATCACTAAGAAGCAAAAGAATCTGTAGGCATGAAGTGTGGGTCTGTACAATTTCAAAATAAAACATTTTACCTTTGTTACTTTATAAAGAAGTTACTGTACAGCCCTCAGTCAGACTCCCTGGATGTAGACTGTGGACAGTCTCCTTCTCCTCTTCCACTGTGTTGTTGGAAACCACAGCTAGCAACCTGCCCTTTTGAAGTTATGACAAAGAATAATATTGTTTATTAAATCAAATCTGCTTGGTTTATTTTGTGATTTCACCAGCGCTTGCCTCAGATGTTCCACCACTATGATTATTTTGCAGGGGCACCATTGTTGCATCCTGGGCTTAGCATCGCCCAAAGTTATTGTGATTGGTTTAAAGGTCCCATATGGGGAAAATCCATTTTTGTTGGGTTTTGTGATAAACTTGAAGGTGTAAAGTAGAAACTGTTGGGATATGAGGACAACTAGTTAACCTTCCTGCCTTACTAGCAAGTTAGAACTCGACCCAGGTGCTGTGTAACTCTTAACCAATAGTCATTCATCTCAAAGGTAAACATTGTGTTCTTCCTGAAGGAGGCGGGAACAACAGCAGCAGCTCATTTAGACCACGGCTAAAACCACGGGTTAAACAGTCGTGGTGAAATGAACAATCTTTGCAGTATTTTGAGCTGAAAAACTGAAAGTCATACTGTGGGGCCATGTTAGACTTTAATTAATCTGGTGGAAACGGGCACAATATGGGACCTTCAAAGAAATACAAAAAAAAAGCCAGGGCATTTTTCCACTGTAGCAGAATGATAATGGGTGCAGCCATTCTCCAGTGCTGACACGGCACTGAGGAGATAGGTCTGGCTATGACTACGCAGTCCTAAATATGGACCCTTTTTTTTTGTCATTTTTATGAAACTAGAATTGTATTGTAGATAAAATAGACCAGAAAGTGTCTGACTGCAGGAGATTTACAGCAGCAAAGGAGAGGGGGAACAGATACCTAAATATATTTTGTCTTTCTGCTGAGAAACCAAAAGTAATATATTACCATTTTGATAAGTTTCACAGTGAAATACAGTTTATTTATTAAATGACGTAGGTAATACAATCCAAAGCACATTATATACACAAGTGATACAGTGAGTAATTCGTGCTTAATTGAGTGTTTGTGTCTTTGTCGTGTTTCCAGTTAAATATGAGAGGATTAAGTTCCTGGTGATTGCTCTTAAGAACTCTGTGGAAATCTATGCCTGGGCTCCCAAACCCTACCACAAGTTCATGGCCTTTAAGGTACAAAAAAAAACTACCAAGCACCCACACACGACACATTAATGCTCACAAACTGGATGCATCAATATGTAGATTGCATGCCTGTGTATAAAATGATAGTTTAAGATTTTCCCCTCTCTGTTTCCTTAAATCGACGTCCTGCCTGCCTGTCTGTCATCCTCTGACGTTTTCAGTCATTCACTGAGCTGCAGCATCGACCCCAGCTGGTTGACCTGACAGTGGAGGAAGGTCAGAGGTTAAAGGTCATCTACGGCTCCAGCGTGGGCTTCCATGTCATCGACGTGGACTCGGGCAACCCGTACGACATCTACATCCCCTCACATGTAAGCGCAGGGTTCTGTTGTGCTCTAACACGTCTGTGTGTGTGTTTTTATTTTATCTTTGATGAACATGTTTTATTGAAAGCTCTGATGAGTTGCACTGAAATCCTACACATAATGCACAGTGCTGTTGGTATTTCTTCATACCTTCACTACATCGCCTGCTGATTTCCTCCGTTGCCAAGGTCAGCGGTGACTCATAGCTGTCTCAGGAGAATTGGCTTCTAGGAATACAATGACTTTACTTGACAAATTACCTCTTTGATTGATTTACTGTCATGCAATTAAAAGATTGATGTCAGCTTTGCCTCTTTATCAGATTTGTTTTTTATTTTAGTTTGCTAAATATGGTGCATTGGACTTCTGTAGCATGTGAAGCAGACAGACTGGATGCACTGCTGCTGAATTGCGTTTATTACAGTGCATAAAGTAGTAGCTTCCTATTGCGACAGAGGTTGCCCAGAGAGAGCGTTATTGCCAAGAAGTCAACATGTTGTTTTTGCATAGTTCTGTTCCCCACGGCACCATTCACAGACATGTATTCATTAATTCTGCTCACTCAATCACTCATGGAAGCGAGGTAGACTGTCAGTGTTTTTCCTCTTGCATGCTTGAATGCAAATCAAGTTTGGTGTTTGCATGCAGATTAGTTTGTCCCCACGGTGGTCACTAATCGTGTACTTATACTCGGATCAAGTTCAAACGCAGTTCAGCCAAACTCTTGGTTTAGTGGCACTATTTCAGTAAATTAAAAAAAAAAACACTAACTAAGTAAGGAATCACGTGGGAGCTTCTGAAGCATTCAACTTGATAAAGTGGTGCATCACAGAATGATTATTCTTGATCACTGAGGTCTTCTACTGTTTCCACCTTTCATCCATGCTTCTTCTTCTCTCTCTCCCGCCCTGCCATCCTCTCCTCCAGTGTGCCAAACAGATGAAGGTGACATCCTGCCATCCACCCTTTAGACTAGATCAATAGATGTGTAGTAAACCCCCCTCATAGTGGACGCACTGAAGCACTACATGTGTCTTACGTGCAGTACAGTACATTAGTGTAGAGATTAACTTGTAACTTAGCCAGAAATTGGTGTGTGAGTGTGTGAAAAAAAATTGGTCTTACCCACGGCAGACATCACAAGGCTCGATAAAACGTGTTCAGTCATGTTGAAACCACTTCATGAAGTTTGGAGTAACTCATATTACTTTAAGCCAAATTGCAATTCCCTAGAACACATTGCAAGGCGGTAATTCTGCCTGACAAGTATCCAAGAAGTGCACCTGATTTTCATCAACCAACATGAAACAATCTGCTGAACAATTGACTTTTACAATTACTTACCTTCAGTTTTCAGAGTAATGAGAAAACATTCCATTTTTTTATCTTGAGTTCTTGTGTAAGTGCAGTTTCTCGTGGGCTAAGATTAGTTTTTCACTTCTGTCTTGTTCCTCAATTGTTGTCTTGAGTCATGGTAGCGTGCCGGCACAAATAACGAGGTTGGCCTCACAGAACGCAAATTCGAGCAATGTCTGTATCCGTGTTCCTTTTCTCCCGCCTCTTCTGATGTTATTTTTGTTCATTTAGGTCTAAGAAAAAGTGCTTTGGTTTGTCTTTTTACTATATGGAACAAGCTTCTCAAACAGAAAGCCAAACTTTAAACCTTTTGATGCACTGACGCTCCTGATATTTGGCAGCTCTTTAGAGGATTATGGAATGTAGGCCGACCCCTGAAAAAAATAAAAATAAAAATAAAAAATGCCAAAGAGCAAATTCAGCTGCATTAAACTTCAATCTTGTAATATTTTAATCTAATGTAGATTATGATTAAATGTGACAGATTTAATTAAAGCCTCTGAAACGTTTTGCGTGTGTGTATTTGATTTAGATCCAGAGCCAGGTTACGCCCCACGCCATTGTGGTGCTGCCGAAGACCGACGGGATGGAGATGCTGCTGTGCTATGAGGACGAGGGTGTCTACGTCAACACCTATGGTCGAATCACCAAGGACGTGGTGCTACAGTGGGGAGAGATGCCTACCTCTGTTGGTAAGTCCCACCGACATGTGTATATTTGTTGTCGATTTGAACACATTTTAATCCGCGATAAAGTCGTAAAAATGTCATTTAATCCAGTCGTTAAATCAACATAGAGAAATGAAATCGCCAAACATGTAGTTAAGAGGTTTCCGGCGGCCTATCATAATACCCGGTTCGGTCCTCGTGCATGTGTGTGTGTTTCAACTGATCGAAAGTGTATCGAGTCCGTTCAGAACTGTGCTTATGGGAGTTCATTTAGGGTTTAATTGCATTCAAAACCCCCGTTTATAACATCAGCCTTCACAGTGAAGGCCTCCAGGGCTGCTTGGCGGGACCAAGAAAGAAGAAGTAGAAAGGGTGAAAGTTTAGGAAAGAAAGGAAATTTTGATATGAATGATGATATTAATATAAAAGTCAAAGTAAGTAGCAGAGGACGACAGATGGAGCTAACAAAATGTAGAAAGACCAGCAAAGGCATGAGTTTGATTATGGTTTCGAAATGAAATAGTCAATTCCTTGTGCTTTACTGACCTCGTGTGGCAGCCAGAGGTACTACACCTGTAAACTTACAGATTCTTCTCATGTTGATGCTCAGGATTATGGAACCCACAGTTTGGTTACTAAAGACCTATTTAATAAACTTAAATTTCCACATCGAGTATCTGCAAGCATCAGAAATTTATGTCAATTTTTAAGGGCGGTGCTCAGTTCCCAGCCTTAACCTTTGACCTTCTGCGCCGTGTGGACAAAGAGGAAACAATTACCCAATAAAAAAATACAGCTGCATCATTGCATAACTTGATATTGCTAAAGCCTGTATCTGTGAGCTTGTGTAATTACACCTCAGGACAGCAGGAGCCGAATGATACGTAAACATGTATTACACAGTCGCTAATGCCGGTCTTATGTTTTCTCTTTTCCAGCCTATATCCATTCTAATCAGATTATGGGCTGGGGTGAGAAAGCCATAGAGATCCGCTCTGTGGAGACGGGCCACCTGGATGGAGTCTTTATGCACAAGAGAGCCCAGAGACTCAAATTCCTGTGTGAGCGGAACGATAAGGTATATACACACCGTGGAATTAGCTCTCGGTTGTTATTTATGGAATTTCAGTCCAGCCAGATGTATAGTCAAGCTGTTAAAACACTGATTGAGCAAGACGTTTGATATACATTGCACAGATCTTACTCTAAACAACATAACCGAACTACATTATTTGAATGAAGCAACATTTAGCTTTAAGATAAAATGTCCAAAAAAGGTATTTGCCAAGATGTTTAGATAAAGCTTGGACATGCATTGTTATTGCATTAATCCAAAATAGACACCAAAAAGTATTCCAAAATGATTAACCCACAGATGTGAGTGCAGAAATTATAAATTGAAATGAATAAAAATAACATTTACTCACTGTAATTACTATTGTTTACTTACTTGACACATCATTTACAAGAGAAATTATTGGGATTTGTTTGTATTTGTTTGAAAATGTGTTTTTTTTCTTTTGTTTCCTTTTCCAGGTATTCTTTGCATCCGTGCGTTCGGGTGGTAGCAGCCAAGTTTTCTTCATGACACTCAACAGAAACTCTATGATGAACTGGTGATGTCTCTTCCTGTCCACTCTGCCTCACTCCTCCTCCCATCGGCCAACCTGGCAACCCACCTTGGCCCACCGCACATCTCACAACCCGATTGAGCCGAGAGGCCGCAAACGAACTCTTTTAACACTGGAGAGACTAATATGGTGTAGAGAAAACAAAAAAAAAGAGGTTATTTTAGAGAAAAACAACAAAGACCAGTCCTAAGTGAAGAGTCAAGTTATCGTAGATTAAAGTCGGGTCATGCAGAAGCCATCGTTACTCAACTGACTGGCAAACTGGTGCCACTGACTTTCCAAATATTCCCTTCTTCCCTCTTTCTCTGCAACTCTTCTGTGTCGTCCTTCTGTCTGTCTCCTCTCCAAACGGACCAGTGCATTCGAGTGTTCAGCAGCTGTAGAAATACACTTTAAACCTGCCTCCTTCCGTCTTCCCTTTTCTTAAAGCCTTTGCTCCATGCCTCCTTCCCGGTAGATCAAATCACTTTATCAGTCCTTTGATACCCATGTCCTCCATTTTCCTCATTTCCTGTCCACCACGTGTGGGCTCATTCGCAGGGAATTACACCTCAGAGGCCGGAGGAGCGTCAGACGAATACAATTTCATCTAAATTTAAATACGCTTCTGAATATGACAGTGCAGGGAGGGAGGGCGAGCTGAGAGATGACAAATCTGCTCTGGATGGCGGCGATGAAAGCGGACAGCCTGATTGATTTTCTTTCTCCTCTGTCACTCCCTTCCTCCTCCGCTTCCTCCCCTTGCCATCTTTTTTTTTGGGTCTCTGAGTAAACTGAATTGTGATGCGGCGTTCGATCGCAATTTCCCCCCGATAGAGATGCAGCGGGACGCTCTGCTGTGGCAGTATGCAAAGATGATGTCCCTTTAAAAAAAAGAAAAATGAAATCACTAAATCACTGGTCCATCCCTTTCTTCCTCTTTCCTCCCCCTTCACACAGCATTATCATGATCTCCCCTCTCTTCACTCTTTCTTCTTTAAACTCTGAAGGTGCTGCATCAGATATACTGTAATATTAAAATGAACAATGAGAGCGTCATTCTGTTCATTTCTGTTCTTTTTCTTTCTCTGTGGAACAGTTTGGAGTCAGTCAGTCTTTGAGGTTTGATGAAAATGTACAGCACATCTGTGTCTCTGAAATCAGGAGTGTATGTTGTGTGTGTGTGTGTGTTTGACTCCATGTCGAAATGAGTCCCGTTCAAATTAAGTCTGAATCAAAGTAGGACGTTTGAAATCCGTGTCCAGCAAGAGTCGAGTGACTCCGTCTTCGTGCGTGAACTTTTACCTTCAAGCAACATTGAGTGTGTTTACATGCAAGATTTCCGATGTTGTCTTCTTAGTATGACGTTTATGAGTTGGTGTGTGTGAACACCGTGCAAATAGGCAATATTAGTGGTTGATTTTTGGAGTACGTTTTTCCGTTTCCTTTAACAAAGTAGTGTGTCGACCATTCACAGACGCGGCCGTGTGGCTGCAGGAGATAAGATGCATAAAAACAGCTTATCCTGGATACGACCTCAACAGGATATGAGCTACTATCCCAAATATTGTGTGCATGTGAAAGCACTCATTGTTGAAAACTGTGGTGTCCTTTTCAAATCATGCTCCTTCTTCCTGGTTGGTTCTTCTGATTTTGGCTCCTAACTGTTTGTACAGTGCCTAGCATGATGTAAGCAAAACTTAAATGGAGGCCAAAAGATTATTGCTCACATTATAACTAATATTTTCTTTTTGACTATACGGTTACATTACAGGGGTTTCTGTTTTGGGTTTGTGTGTGTGTGTGTGTGTGTGTGTGTGTTATTATCTAACTTTAACACATTGCTGGTGTTATTTGTCTCCTCTGTCGGAGATGTACATTAACACATTTAAGAATTGATTTATTCTTTGAAAGGAGCAACTGATAAAACTTTGCCCATTTCCTTCCAAATACTTCGAGCAGCACATCAATGCATTTGGTATTAAAGAGCCATATTATGCAAAAATCCAGTTCGTCATTGTTTTAAGCATTATTATGTGTCCTCAGTTTGTCTGCAAACCCACAAATAAGAGGGAAAAAAAATCCCCTTGTGTATTTCTTACCAGCTAATTCAGTCGTGCAGCCTGTTGTGATGTCACAGCGGGATAAGCACCGCCCACAACTGGCTCCTCCTCCTCCTCCTCTGGGCAGCAGCTGCCCATTTGGATTTAAAGTTACAAACACTGAAAACCGTTCATCTGTGCAGTATTTTGAGCTGAAACACAACATTGCATATTGTGGGGACGTGTAAGACGTTTAATAACTTGTTTGAAAGGAGTTAAATATGGGACCTTTAATTTTCTATTGAAGGTGGACTAGTTCATGCTTAAAACATGATGCGATTTAGTGTTTTATTTCTTGTGAATCTACTGCAGTATTCAGACGATCCACTGATATACAACACGGAGAGGAGTAAAGCTGCTCCTGAAGAGGCACAGTGGCAGATTTTCAAGCCTTTGGTTTTTACTTTTAAACCACCGTCAACCTGAAAACAAGCTCGAGGCAACTCACGTAGAAGACAATCACTTATAGACAATTTAAAATAACACGTTTGGGACTGTGACATCATTAGCCTAATTGATGCAAACTGATATCTTTGAAGCTGTTTTCTTTCCAACCAAAAGCTTGAAAAACTGCCTTTATTCTACTCTCTTTTCCTGGAGTGAGTTTACGCTTACATACTGCAGTTATGTCCGCATGTTGGCGGATGGTTAACAAATGTAAGGTGATACATGAAAATAGACTAACTCCTACAGGATGTAATAATCCTTCGAATCCATTTTATTCAGTTGATAGATTATTAAATGTTTTCTGTTGTGTTTTCACATCCATACAGTAGCTGTTTCTGTGCAGCTGTAAGTTAGGTTCACTGGTCTCTCATTTTAGCAATAAAGAGCCGAGCTGAAGAAAACCACTGTCTTCCCGTGTGTGTGTGTGTGTGTGTGTGTGTGTGTGTGATTAATGATCAAGCGTGAATGGGGCATTATTACTGTGTGTTTTACTTTGTCCATCGTGGAATTCACTGTTCCCATTGGAAAACTGCTGACGGTCATTACACTGAGGTCTCTCCTTTCAAAGATGAAACCACTGTATTCTTTATTCTGTTTAATTCCTGTTTTCTTTTATTTTGAAAGAGCATTACTAATGTCCTGTTTTGGGATTTATTTGTTTTGTAAAAGAGATGCTGTAAGAGAGAAATAAATGAAACTAGCATTACGCTGCTGGTAGTTGTGTGTTTGTCAGAGACTCTGTTTGGTTTTGTAAGCGTTTGTATCAGCTCGACCCTCAGACTTTGTCCTCAAGTATATCATTAACAGCGACAGAGAGATAGGTGGGCAGAGAATGTCATTATTACCATCAAAAAGACGCAACTTTGAGTGGCGTGATCCCATCTGGAAGTAATTTTTGCAATTCATAATTAATTGCAATATGTACTTAATCACTGACCATAATGCACCAGCATTAAGCACCACATATATGATGCTCAAATCAGTGCTTTTCAAAATAAATTCTCTAATATCATCATTTTATTGCTTTTCCTGCAATAAGAGTAATATATGTGTGTTAATATATAAAGGATAATAGCCTATGTCTTTATTTTTGTGTAAGAGCTTTATCAGCACCGTATGGCTGCGTGTGCGCATCTATGTGCACGCGTCCGTTGATAGTGAGTGGACACAGCGTGATCAGGCATGCAGCCTCCATTGATCATTACCAAACTCTTGGCTGACACTCTGCACTCATCATGGACTCGGGAAAGGTAACATAACTCTTCAGCAAATGCCTTCTTTACATGTATTTCATACATATTCTGCCACCTCATATTAGATCATGTTGGCAACATTAGCAGACGGATGTGCTTTGTGTGGTCACTACATTACTGAGATATAAAGCGTTGGAGTTCCCACTTGGATCAGAGAGAATGACCTGCTTTTCATTCATCTGTGTGCTCTGTGTTGGCCTTGCCATTTAGCTTCGGAGATTGTAATGAATTAAAATCTGTCTGCTTCAACAATTTGTTTCAGATGTTTGATAAACTAAGAGTTTCTATGTAGCTGTTGTCACTTGCATATGTAAGTAATCTAACAAGTGACAGAAATAGTTCACAAAGCAGTAAGAAATCCACTGATAGTGTTGAGAAAGTCTGTTTTTTTTTTGTTTGTATCTCCAGTTGCACTTTATTTCTACTGTGCGAGGACAGCTGTGTGACTCTCATGTCCTTGCTTGTGTGCATGTACAACTTAAATGTGTGTTTGTTCGTGCGTTCATGCGTGGGTCATTATTAAAATTGATCACTTTTCCCTCCTGCAGCAGCTAACGGGTACGCTGGCAGTGGCTGTGTTCACAGCAGCTCTGGGCTCCCTGCAGTATGGTTACAGTATTGGAGTCATTAATGCACCTCAGAAGGTAGGATCTATTATAACACAGCTTTTGTGCCCTCACGGACCAATTTACTTGCATAATAATATGTGCATGCAAAATTCTGCAAAAGAAAGTGTGAAAATATGGCAACAGGGGAGCCAAAAATAAGAAAACATTAGTTGTTTATAGTGGAAACAATATAAAACTTTGAGAGCCAGAGAAACAGACTTAACTTTTCTTAGTGTCTAGAAAAATCATTTTGCACAATTTCTTTTTCCCAAGTTCTCTTGTATAGATATCCAAAAATAATTTAATTTGCAATTCAGCGAGCAGATATGTTCTGGTCTGTGGCACCTCGAATGCTTCTTCCAGCAAATACATGTCTTGCGGAGTGACAGAGGAGTCAGAATGTGTGACATGCTGACGTCTCTCTGCTGCAATCTGCTGGTAACATTGGCACACTGTCATTCACTGTGCACATTTGGTTCTGCTTTGTAATTCCAACGTTACTGAGCCAAAAGATGCCACAAAGCCTCCTTAGGCATCCTCTATGGAATATTACCTTAAGGTTTCTCTCATATAGACCTTTGTTTTAAGACTGTATTGCTTGGACTTTGAGGAATCAAACTTTCATGTTTTTGGCTCCTCTGCTGTCCTTGTTGAAAAGCGCACCGACAACTGCAAAGTTCTGCAACACACTCAAGTTCCTCATGTTTTATTAAAGCCGGTGCTGGAAGTGGCTCAATGCATCGCTTAAACTTTAGATGTGTTGACACTGAGACCTATTTTCTTCACCGATGTGCTGAGTTTCTTTCTATTCTAGTACGATGTGGTAATTTTTGGCAAAGCTTACGAGGTCAGTGGCAAAGTCCAGGTTATTGAAGGCAACACCCAACTGCCTGCTATGATTGCCTAACTGTACAGGGCACACATTCATAGAGTAGAACAGGTTGTACCATGAAAATTACTCCTTTTTATATGTTGTACAAACTGAATTTCAGTGTGTCAGTCACATTTTTTTCTGCTGTCAGTAGAAACTCACTCCGGCTTTTATTTCAACCTTCTTAATGAAGCTTATCTTCTTCCTCCATTCAAAACCAAACGTAGTGTTGGTCATCTTTCTACTGAGCCTCTGTATAGCTTTGATTTAAACTGACTGTGTGTCTGTGTCATAGATCATTGAAAAGCATTACGGCCGGTCCTTGGGCGTGTGGTCGGAAAACGATGCCGTCCTGTCAGAAAACAGCACAGAACAAGCGGAGGAGGCGGGACATCACCCTGCCGTGGTCATGTACTGGTCACTATCGGTGGCAATCTTCTCCATTGGTGGGATGCTGTCCTCCTTCCTGGTCGGATTTGTGGCAGACCTGAGAGGGAGGTGAGAGAGAAAGTATGAAATAATAAAGACATGAGTGCAAGAATGAAAGTTTGGTGGGAAAAGAAGACCTGGAGGGAGTATAGGGAGGGTGACAAAACCTACATTTTTTCCAATTTCCATCTTTCGTTGTGTCTCGCTCTGCCACATTTCTATCTCTTTCTGTTTCGCAGGATAAAAGGGATGTTAATGATCAATGTTCTGGCTATAGCTGCTGGTCTGCTGATGGGTCTTTGCCAGATGTGGAAGCCCCACATCATGGTCATTGCAGGCCGCGCTGTTATGGGCTTTTACTGTGGTACGTTGCTCAGTGCACCTTCACTCACACATTTTCACTGGAAATCACAAAAAAGAAAGAAAAGCATTGCCTTATACATGCATGCACATATATATTCTCATATTTCTGGACTGTTTGTTTAGCTCCTGATGTATCTTTCAGGTTTATCCTCTGGCCTAGTACCCATGTACATCGGCGAGATTGCACCCAAGGATTACAGAGGGGCTCTGGGAACAATCCACCAGCTGGGTGCTGTCATCGGCATCCTCATCAGCCAGGTGAGCGACACCCACACTCACTGACACATGCACAGCATCTTCTTTGCTTGACAACACACTCAAGTGTACTTGTGTGGATGCAGATAGTAGGCTTGGACTTTGTGCTTGGAAACGACACCATGTGGCCCCTGTTGCTTGGTCTGTCTGGAGCTCCGGCCGTATTACAATCCGTTCTGCTGCTGGTATGCCCTGAGAGCCCGCGGTACCTTTACATCGTACTGGGCAAGAAGCAACAGGCTCGACTGAGTAAGAATTATACACAAAATACACACAGTTTTAGCCTTGTTTTCTCTCTCTTGCAGTGTTATGCCAACACTGAAACTCTCAATATGTTAGGAAATATAGTTCTTGCAAAGAGTTAGATGAACAAATCAGTATCACTCTCATACCTGCCTGCTAAATGTACAACTTCAGACAGCAACTGGCTAGCTTAGCTTAGCTTAGCTTAGCACAAAGACTGGAAACACAGGTAGCCTGGCTCTGTCCAAAAGTCGCAAAATCCCTGCCATCAGTATCTCTAATTAAGATGTGACATTTGTGTGGAAATTGTCAAATAATCCACCTTTCTTCTCTAAAGTCCTAAGAAACAAGATAAAAAGTGAAAGCATACTTAATGAATTTTAGGGATGCTGATATTTTTGTACATGATTTAAAAATTTCTTTGCAGATGGGTCATTTTTCTGGGTTCGTTCTTGGGTTCGTTGCAGGTCTACTTCGTCTAAAGGGGGCGTATGATCCAGCTGAGGATCTGGAGGAGATGAGGAGAGAGAAAGAGGAGGCAGACAAGGAGCCGAGGATCTCTATCTTTTCTCTGGTAGGTCTCTATACATCTGGATGGTCAGTTAAGATGTATTGTTGTTACTGCCTGAATATTTTTGCTTAGGAATTTTACTCTAACATTTCATGCAGCAACTTTGAAGGACATTTCAGAGTTTGTAGTTTTGCTAAACAAATGAAGCCAATGCAGAAGAACTGCAGTTCCTCAAATGGCCACTGGAGGCTGCCTCCAAAACTGAAACCA